AATCACTCAATTAATCAATTAATAGTACATTGCATTCTACCAGATAAAACATATTTTGCCAAAAATTTAGAATAGTTTTTAAGAAAATCTTGCCTATGTTGTTACGGTACCAAATCTGCTTTGCCTTATTAGATTCGCATCGCACAAGGCCATGGTGACTTCACCAGGCGCAAGGAGGCATCTACTTGTGGCACTCTGCACACAGGGGCTGCTCATTGCCTTTGTGATGAGCGTTTGATTGCCTTTGTGAAGTATCCATGCGAGCAATAGGGGGCGCGCTGGTTGAGAGGATACCAGGTCAACAATAGTGTCACAGGCAGAAAGCCTATCTGATGAGTCTGACAGAACGAAACTCTGATTGGTACTTTCTTGCTATGGAGTAGAGATAGTTATGTAATGCTGTGCGAAAAACAGCAAATTTTCAGCAGAAAAACTGTTATAACAACACCATGGTAATGAAAAAGTGGATTATTCCAGTTGCCATATTCGAAAAAAATCCTTTAACACTTGGTGTAGCCAGAATCCACATTTTGTGTGTCCTTGATACTGAAAAATGGAATGATGGCAAAATATGTCTGTCTGTCCATCCGTCTGTGAAAACCGCCAGGGACTAAATCATACAGCCAATTTTCTCCAAAGTAGATATTCCTCAATTGATTTAGCTGAAGCCGCGGCCCCTTGAATTTGAAACCATTACCACCCAAAATCTACTAATACTACTAAGTATTGGCAGCTATTGCAAGAGCACCTGACTACAGCTGCCTGCAAACAGAGCTGATGACACCACATCACATAAAGAGACAATACCCATCCACAACAGAGGCGGCCAAATGGCAACCAACCTGTTCCCCCGCTGAGAAATGCGGGAAAGACTATTTAGCATAATTAGTGCCCATGTTGTGATCAGGGCATGCTTTCTCATGCTACAGCAGATAATAACTTTTTTTTGAACAATATTAGTAAGTTTGATAATCTGTGTAAAACATAAGTTCATGAAAAGATATGTTCTATAATTGTATATCATTTCATTTTTTCAATCATAATAATCATTACCTTCATCATCATATCACCGAAGTTGTAATTAAATGTATTTTATTGCAATTTCACTTCTTTTTGTTCATGCAACCCCACACCATTCCTATTCCAGCAGAATGGAAATGGATTCAGCAAACAGCGCATTGATAGGATACAACATGTTTTTGGAACAATGCCATAATTTGATACAAAATTACACAAAAAATTGAAACACAGATTATCACATTAAAATATTTCAAAATCTCACTACCTAGAACACAAATTGTTTGTTATAACCCTGAGGAAGATTTGAAGAATTGTTTGTTATAACCCTAAAGAAGAAAAATTTGAAAAATTGGCATTTGAGTATTGTTTTTATTTCTTTACAAACTCCTCTTATGATATTTCCCTTCAATTAAAATATTGAATGTATAATTGCAAAGAGAAATTTTCTTGTTACCATTTTTCAAAACTTTTTTGCAGAACATAAGATCTAATATTAAAGTTTTTACTTAAAAAACAATTATAAAAAACTTGAAACATTTGGCACCTTCTTAGTTTAGTGACCAGCACAGGTGAGAAAAGGTCACCCTGTCCTAAATCTATTATTGTTTTGAACAATTTGCCAGACCAATTAAAAACTTGAAGTTATATTTAATTTTTGCAATTTGAACTTATAAATATTATAGTTTAGAAGAAGCTTTTATTTAGTACTTATGCCTAACTGTAGAACTGTATGTAACGGTAGAAATGATGTTCTTACAATTCATCATCCGGAGACCATTTATCACCATGGAACACAGCATTTATGACTTTGGCATCAAAAACTAGTAAATTCATGAGATTCTCATCACCTGCAAGAAAATGAAAAATAGCAATCATAATATTTTTATATTACTAAAGAGAATATGTTATATGCAATACATGAAATGTACTTACAGTAATACTCATCTTCTGAAACTTCTTGTTTTTGACAAAATCTTGCTAAAAGCAAAACACAATATTATTCTAATGAACAGAATAAACCAAGCATTTAAAATTTCAAGATACACTGAGGTGACAAAAGTCATGTGATACCTCCTAATATTGAGTCAGACCTTTTTCCCTGTGAAGTGCAGCAACTTGACGAGGGTAATGACTTAACAAGTCATTGGAAGTCTCCTAACAATTATGAAGCCATGATGCCTCTATAGCCATCCACAGTTATGAAAGTGTTACTGGTGCAGGATTTTGTGCACAAACTGACTTCTCGTTTATGTCCCATAAATGTTTGATGTGATTTATATCAGGCGATCTGGAACTGCAAATCATTGCTTACATTGTCCAGGATGTTCTTTAAACCATTTACAAACAAATGTGGCCTGGTGACATGGTACATTGTCTTCCATAAAAATTCCATTGTTGTTTTGGAAAATGAAGTCTATGAATGGCTGCAAATGGACTCCAAGTAGCTCAACTTAACCATTTCCAGTCAATAATCGATTTAGTTGGACCAGAGGATCCAGTCCATTCCATGTAAAATCAGCCCACACCATCATGGAGCTATCAGCAACATGCACAGTGCCTTGTTGACAACTTGGTCCACGGCTTTGTGGGGTCTGCTCCACACTCAATGCTTACCATCAGTTCTCACCAAACTAAATAACTGACAAAGCCATGGACCTTCTGCCATAGCCCGTTAAAGTCAAATTTCGTCACACTCTCCTTACGGATACATTCCTTGTACATTCTACATTGGTTTCCATCATTATTTCACACAGTGTTGCTTGACTAGTAGCACTGGCAAGCCTACCCAAACGCCACTGCTCTCGGTCATTAAGTGAAGACTGACGGCCAATGTATTGTTTGTGGTGACAAGTTACGCCTGAAATAAGGTTTTCTCAACACACTCTTGACTCTGTAGTTCTCGGAATATTGAATTCCCGAAAGATTTCCAAAATGGAAAGTCCTGGTGTCTATCCCCAACAACCATTCCACCTTCAAAGTCTGTTAATTCCCATAGTGCCACCATAATCACATTAGAAACCTTTTCACATTAATCTCTTTAGTACCAATGAAAGCTCTGCCAATTCACTGCCCTTTTATTCCTTTTGTATGAAATACCACTGCCATCTGTACATTTGTATATTGCTATCCCATGACTTTTGTCACCTCAGGGTATAACAATAGCACAGCTTTTCAAATGAACAGTTAATATTTTATATCCGCTGCAGACGCTGCGCAAAACGCTGCAGACGTATGCTGCATGCTGCAGACGTATGCATATAGGTAGCAACATTATGTCGATGCCAATTCAAATAAATTTTGTAATGCAAATGAAGAACATATCAAGTATAAACTGAGTCTGTTTGTGGAAAAAGGATGTGTATGCAAAACTGCTGTTTTGAGAAAACTGCTTTTAATTGTTGAATAATATGATGTTGGATTCATATGAATTGTCACTTTTGCACTCTTGTTGTCATGCTTAATTATATAGAAACAATTTCAATGTGAGAAACTTTGTGAGGCAGGGAGGATTTCTGTTCATTCCCCCATTATTCTTGAAATATTTTTTTAATTATTATCATAAATGTTTATTTATGAGTGAGAATATTCTTAATGAGAATACTACTTTGAATATGATGAGAAATGGTAATTATTGTTAATAAATTGACTGGAATTTACAAAAATTTAGGCTTGGATGCTGTCTACCACCCCCCACCCCCCCACACACACACACACACGCATCTTCCCTATTGAATCTGCCAAAGGTGCTTATGCTTTTTTGCCAGAGACTGTCGCAGCTCTGGAATAAATGATTTAGTGCATCTCCACCTTCTAATATATCAAATATTAATAAAGGAAAAAACAAGAAAGGAACATACATTCATTGTAGCTAGTCATTTCAATGAAACCATCAGTATTGGCTTCATTATCCACACCATCATCAATTTCATATTCATCATAACCAAATCTATACGGATCTTGCCACTTAAAATCATATTTTAAATCTGATATTTTTGCTAGAAAATGTAGAAGTTCTTTTTCTGGTGACTCAAAATCATAGAGTGAACTATAGAAATATTTACAGTACACCCTAAAACAGCACAGTATAAAAATTATTAATACAATTTCAGGAAAAACAAGAAATATAAAACATTTATTAAATAAAACATATTCACATTAAAACTCATTGAGAATCAAATCATACCATTTGCGATATAACTTCCAATTTTTCCCTTCAAAATATTTTTCAACACGTTCACCTCTCATCCAAGTCTTCTGAATTTCTTGCCCCACCCTAAGTTGGTAATGTCCGTAGCCTTCAGGTAACGAGATAGCAATGGAAAATGGAGTCCCTTTTAATGGGGTATAATAATAATCTCTTTTTTCAACATAAGCCCTTTTCTGTGAAACAAAAGTAAAGTACAAATTTTGAAAAATGTAAGAGGGCAGACGATTTAAGTATGAAAATTAATACATCAAAACAAAATTCTATAAAATCTGTAAATAAAATAAAATGAATTTCTAATAACATGACAAAATAACAAGAGAAAAAATATGTCAATTCAGCAGGAAAATTACTTATTAGTCAGTAATCTGTTGCAAATGAAGAATAGTTAACACACTGATAAAACTGAAAATGAATTGATGCTGGTCATATTCACAATTTGGTCAAGAAATTTGTGAAACTAATACTTTTCTATGAATTTAAATTAAAAAAAAAATTGTAATATACATGACATGCTTCACATATATTTTTCTAAAATTTCAAGTTTTTCATAACTATCGATTCTTGAATAAACTTTACAATACTTTATATTTTACATGATCATTTCAATAATTATTATCCTTATATTGTAAATAATAGAGAAAGGTCATTTCAAAGAAAACATACAGAAAAAATAACACTGTTCTACAAATAGAAAAGTTGTCTCATTCCTAAACAAAAATAGTCAATCCTTACCCAATTGGGTCAAAGAAACAAGAATATGACAGCAGAAACATTTTCTTAGCTCTTCCTGTTAAAATAATTGCATATCTATATGTATGTATGGAACTCTTCCTTCCACACTATTACATTAACATTGTGAAATATTTAACTATTCACTTGAGAATATCTTTTTTGTTTATTTTCACTATATATTTGGAGCATCTCTCACAACATGCCAACAATAGTCTGTAAGCATAGTTAAGTTCCACTTGCTCTAATTTCTTCTTTTTTCTAGTGCTGAAATGTCTTGATAGAAGCAGACTCCATGTTTGTCACTCAAAACATTGCAATTGCTTGAAAAAAAAGTCGAGATGAGAGAGAAGTGCGTGAATCTTCAGCAACATATCACAATCTAACTCTTGGCAAGTCTTCAGAAGCTCATAAAAAGCTACAGTGTAATTTTCAGCTCTTCGATTTTGCAAGAAATTCTGAACAACGGTTATGAAGGCTAGGCTTTCTCATTCCCTTCAGTGACCTTATTCAAAGTTTCATCCTTAATCAGTTCTTGAATTTATGGACCCATGAAGATTCCTTTTTGGTCTTGGTGTAATATCCTACCGCGCATTTAAACTGCCGCGCAGGCAGCCTGGTGACAGCGCGACAAGCGGCGGTATCCTCACCCAGAGGCCGCAGCCCACGGCCGCACGACCCCCGAGCCCCTCACGCCTCACGTGCTCTCCCGCCGCGTCTCAGCGATTTAGCCAACGGAGGAGCGCCCGAGGGGGCCAACGTGCGCAACCGCAGGGTATATAAGCCCCCGACCGGAGAGGAGTTGCAGGGTACAATATCCAGAGAGCAAACAACGAAGCTTCGAAAATAAGCTCTAAAGGCAATTTTAAGCACATTTTGTCTCACAAACTCCATCGAATGACTGAGTCGCAATAAGCACTCAAAAGTTGGTTTGAAAAAACACTTGCAATGCAAAAATTTGCATTTCAAAAGCACCTAAACACTCCAGAAACATGTAAGTTGTTTATTTTTACAAAATAAATTAATACATTTTTTTCACAAAGAAAAATTAACACAGACGTAAAATATCATCCAATTTACACAATTCAATTGGTCTTTTATTTTTGCATTAATTACTTTTTTCTTTGTGAACAAATATATTCATTTCTTTTGTAAATAAAAAACAATTTACATGTTTCTGAAATGCACATTTTTGCAATGAAAGTATGTTTTCAATTCCCTTTTCAGTGTTTAGGAGACATAATATGCTTAAAATTATCTTCAAAGCTCACTTTCGATGTTTAGTTCTTTCTTCCCTGGATATCCTGTATAGTTCAGTGGTGTGAGTGAGTGTGGGAATCCAACTGTTAATAAAATGAGTAAATGTGAGTATGAATGGCAACAAAAATAAAATTTGAAGACAACAGAATATCAAAAGAACGTTTTAAAAAATTATCCAAAAACTGTGCAAACTAAAAAAAAGTACATGGGTGTAAATTGTCTGTAATAAATATAGTTATAAGTCATATTTAAGTTAATTATAAGCATTAGTACTTTTAAGATACCAGCCCTCCCAAAGTTTCAGACCAATGGTAGATTGCGAAGCTTGTTTCACATATGGAGCAAATTGTCGACAGTAAATTACCTCACGCTTTATAAAGAATTTATTATGCTGCAAATGATCTACGCATGCCTCAGCTGGGCAAAGTCAGAAAAAGCGCATTTGAAAAAACTGAGAATAAATGCTTTGAATGTACCTAGGGCTGCGCTTTGCGCCCCTAGGTACATTCCTGTAGCGGAACCACATCGAAAGCTATCAATGCCATTGCTCTTTGATCAGATCAAAACGTTCGCAATAATGTTTTCGGAAAAAGAAGCTGACACGCAAATTACTCTGTCTGAGATCGCTTCATACCCACCCGACCTCCGGGCGATGTATACGCGACCAAAACACTTACCGGAGTAAGGAAACTGAAACAGCGCAATGGGACCTGAAACAAACTTTGTGTTTCTGCACACGCAATGCGCGCGCCTGTTTTACTGTATTTCTCTTTACGTTGCAGAATTGGCTGCAGATGGCCGCTAAGAGAAGGAATGGTCGCACTGCAATGGCGTGAATGTGCATTGCAGTTTCCGCGCGTTCACAAAGCTGCATAAATGAATTCGCTCAGCTCCAGTGTGCTATAGTGAGCAGTAACCAGTGTCTCGATGCTGAGTTTGTGCGTGATGTCGGTGAAACGACGAGTGATCCAGACTTCGAACTTTTCTCTCGGTAACTCTACGACCCAGCAAGTGTACTGTACATCTCCCGGCGCTGACGACTCTGCGAGGATTACATTTTCTTCTGGCATTTCGTCGACTCGGCAATTCCTGTATTTATTTTTTGTTTTGCGGCGAAGCTCGGTCTATTGTAAATAAGACTGTGACATACGTGTCCATATTTACCCTTAGCATCACTGAGATATGGGAATTGTGTCTTTAAATACACGATTAATTCATCGCTTTACTATAGCATCTACAGATTCTTTCTCAGTCCTAGCTTTATGTTCAAAGGTGGCAATAAGATATTGTGGCGGACAACTACGAGATGTATTTGATGTTCATTGAAGAATTCACTGAGCGGATATCGCAGGCTTGGGGGCGATATTGGGAATACTGTACGGAACCAGAGCCTTAGGCCGCTTTCAGACCAGCCGGCGCGCGCCGTCCGCCGCTCACGGCATTGCACCGCACTCGCTTGATTCTCATAGAATCACAAGGAACAATATAGGGGGCGGATACAGGGAGAAATTTTGGGAGGGTAAATTCAAAATGTTTTGGTCGAATGTGTCGTATTACAGACTGTGTAAAATGTAACAGGCTACACTCGGCTCATGCTGCGATACGAATTTATTCGTTTTAATGTTTATACGAAAATATTTTTGCTTGAAAGATTCTTCAAAAGTTAAAATTAACAATTATTGAAACATTTTAAGGGGGATTTCCCTCAACTCCCCCCGCCCGTGGATCTGCGCCTGCATTAACAGCTACTACGATTCATTGGTTAAGTCCAACGCCAGATGCTCTAAGGACGTATTTGAACATAGCAAAGCGCGAAAGAAATGAAGTATGAAAGAAATTTTCAACAAATGAAAATATTTTGAAAACAGTTTACAATGTCGACGACGCCACATATAACTAGTTGTGAGTACTTTATTAGAAGATAGTCCAGATTCGCGAGTCATAAAAAGGAATCTTTCAAGTCCAAGATCGAAGCAACTATTGCATGGAGGGAAGTTTGTATTCAATTAAATACTATTTTTTTTTCCATTCTCCTTCGTCGGATTTACGGCAGGCATTTCCCTTGCTGAAATGTCTTCTCTCAATTGGATATTTAATCTAATTTGCCGTAGTTTTTTTAGTAAATCCTCAAACGCAGTTATTTTTCCGCAGAAATAATTTTAACAACTGCTTTTATCAGAATGTCAGATAATGAAATATTAGAACAGAAGCACCAGCTTAAGACTTTTGAATATTAATTGAATGAACTCCTACAACTACAAAAATAAAGATACAGATTTTACCATAAAATTAAATTTGTTGTCCATAATTAAGTCTATCATTAAGGTCGCTCAATATTGCGTGCAATTTTAAAAAATAACAAAGAAGATTTTCTCAAAAACGGTTCGACATTTTTTCTTTAAATACTTGACAGGGGTAGTGCTAAAAGTACTCTATGATATTCCATAAACATCAGTTTGCTATATTCTTTTATTATTTCAAAATTTACAAAAATGTATTTTTTTTACTGCTCTCTCAAGTCCTTAATATTTATATTAGCGACGTTGCGTTCATATTAATGTATTTTCGAGTAGCCTACATGTGGTTTAAATAATGTCATTCAAGATTTCGAAAACTAGTTCAAACACTTAACAGTTTTCTGCAAAAACTAGTTCAAAATTCTGCATTTCCAGAAACGCCATATTCGCAAAAAGAGCTCCAATTTTTTTTCGAACTAATAGTGTTAATTGCACTCCTTAATATGACGAAAATTTCATTTTGGAGCATTCTATTTTACTTGCACAAATGTAATATTTTGAAACATCTCTCACGCCGTTAATATGCACATTTCCAGTAATTTGTAAACACTGTTGTGTTTGTGAGTTAAAGTGCTTCAAATGACTTCTAATAAGGTTTTCCGAAAACTCAAAAAATGTCAGCGGAACAGTTCATCAAACGCTTTCTATTACGCACACACATCAGGGAGCGTGCTACATGTGTCGCTTGTAGACGCAAAAACTACTTGATCGATTTCGCAAAATTTTCAGTTAGTTCTTATTAGCATCGGGAATATTTAAAGAGTGGTTTGAATTAAATTTGACATGTTACGTGATAGTGATCACGTGATATTAACCTGCTCAGTATACTCAATCGCCCCTGAACAGAAGTGCTAGGCACACCGCCGCACCCTCAAGTATTAAGCGGGTTAATGGATGCATATTCTGCCCTGAGAATGTGAAATATCGGTTGGAATTTTAATATCCAATATTACAGAAACATTTACTCTCGGGCAAGTAAATGCATGATGGTATCATGGCGAACGCAAGTCAAAACTTCAGGGAAATCGTTTAAACTATAGAATACTTAGCAACTATGACCAAACCAGGATAGATAAACAAACCCAGACTCGCGAGAAATTCTTTCGTCTTCTAGAATTTTTGCAGAGCGTAGTGTAAAACGTGATTAACAATCACGTGATCAGTAGCGTATGAAGTGCAATACATTGCAAATGCGAATCATCACCGGGTCTGCTAGTGAAAAAATATTACAAAAGTCATGAAATCAGAAAAATAAAACATTCTGAATTTTTAAGAACATAATTTGACTTCAATGCTCTTACCATATCATCGTATTGAAATTTCATGTTTAGTCCCAGAATCTCACCAGCAGAGTGATTCACCATCGCTTCTCTTAGCTACAAATGAAGATAAACAAAAATATTTCCATCAAAATCATAAAATATATTAATTAATAAATAAACACTGCCACAAGTATTTTATTAATAAAGTTAATTTCACACTAGAGGTGTTACAACAGCTCATACTTTTTCATATTCATTATAAAAATGATACAATAAAACAATACTGCAATGTCAATCTCATCAACACTTCACCCCTTCACTTGAAAACAAGTAATTTGTAACCAAATGAGTTTAAAGAGGTAAAAAAAATGTATAACTTTAATTTTTGAAAATTCCTAAGTTAGAATGAAAATCACATATCTGCAAATTCAATTAACCATATTGTGTTCGATATTTATAAAAATGCTCAAGAAAGAAAATTAATAGCACTTTAACAGCACGTTCTTTCTCACAATTTTTGTAACGGTTTCGCAATATTATAATTCTACATGAACCTGCAAAAGTGTTTCCATGGAGTCAACTTACCATGCACTTTAGCTCTACATCATGCAGTCACTCGCCCCTCCGCTTTTGTCAAAGCTGAAAAACCTATTGATCTCTCCCATTATTTCTAGCTTATTTACCTTTTAAAAATTCAAACATTAATGAAAATTAAACCTGCACCATTTTTTAAGCATATTTTGCTCTAACTGGGGGTAAAAAAAAAGAAAAAATTTGAAGTCATTTTTGAGGGGGGAAAAATGGAATATATTCACATGTGTTTCAAATTATAAGAAAACATTTTTTTGAAAAAATTAAACATGCCTTTTTTTTAAATGATAAAAAAAGAGCCTTTTTTTATTTAAGACTAAAATATATATATTCAACATTGTACTGTTCAGATGTTAGTTTTTGCAGTTTTCAAAAATATGCAGAGTTTGCCAAAAATGGGACCCACACCAACCATTGTCTGATGCATACGAGGAGAAAATTTAAAGGCAATTTTACTTTTACAAGTAATAAGAAAAAGTAGATGTTGTAGAAGCACCACTTGTTTTATTAGTTACTATCTGTACAATATACAAAATAAATAAATTACTCATTACTTACTTCCAATATTTCAGGGTCCAATTCTCTAGGCAGTGATTCTTCTAAAAGCTCTACTTCGGTCAGATCTACGCTATTATAACTAGATGTAAGTACACCTCTCACCTAAAAACGTTTTGAGATAAGAGTAAAAAACAGCAGGTGAATTAACAGAAAGAAGAAAAAAAATCCATACCACTGGCCTCAGATCAGGATGCAATAAAACATATCCATTATTGGTGACTATAAAAACATATCCATTGACACCTATCTGTAAAAAAGATTTAGTAAATAGATGTGTTTATTTTTTTAAACATAAGTACTTATCAAAAGAAAATGAAATCCTTGCATACAGAGGTACAGAAGTAATTATAACTAGTGTTATTCTGCTACCTGATAGGGTAAAGTCAGCTTTTCAATATCTTCAATTGGGATATCAGTGGCAGCAATTCCCAACAACTCAGGAAAATTAGACTGAAATAAAACAGAAAGAATTATAAATTAACAGTTTTTATATTGGATAAAATTGACTGAAGGTGAGTACAGCTGCAGACTAGTGGACTAGACTGAACAAGAAATACGAACCATGGACCAAAAAAGAAAAACCCAGAAAATTGCTTTCAATGCATAGTTTTGCCTATCATTGTGTGATGTGACCAACTTATGAACCCTGTCGTTAAATCTCACCAAACGACCACAAATAGAGGCATGGTAAATGTAACAAAAAGCAAAGAAACCTATGCACGACAATCACAATATCACAATGAATTGTTGTTGATGCTGTTTGACATAAAATGTGAGACAACAAATTTTAAAGAAATTGTGGAGAGACAAACGTGTCTATGGACAATATGTTAAAAGAATGGACAAGATGTAGATGAAAAAACATCAATCAAATGGCTTAAAAAGGGAAGAATTAATTCTTCCCCTTAGAATTAAGAACAAATGAAAGCTGTTATAATAGCTGCCCTAGATGAGGCATTCGGAAAACACCATTACAATTAAGCAGTTCTCAAATTTCTCAGGATGATAAAGGCTGTATTTGTCAGGATCAAGTAGAAACCATTGATCATATTGTCACAGCCTGTCCAAATATAGACAAGTCTGAGTACTTAAAAGCAGGGTCTGTAGTTACTTTCTCTAGCAGATCAATATCACTTTCAAATACTTGCTCCCAGTAGTACAAATACTAAAACCTGTGATGTCTATTGGCCTTTGCATTACAATATGACAAACAAACAAACTGATTATTCAATTGCAGCAAACCAATTAAATATTGTTATTCAGGGTAGAGAGAAAAGTTGTGTGTTGTGTCTCCTTTTTGATGTTTCTATGCAATGCTATCAGAACATCACATTCAAGGATGAAGAGAAACATCCCAAATTACGTGTATTTTAACATTGACATCAACTGAATATGGGGGCGTACAAACATGCCATCCCAATAATTATTTGCCCTGATTGATTAAGATTGATTTTGCACAAATAATGTTAGATCTTATCCGAATTAACAGGTAATTTAAAAGACTTCGATGAGACAGCATTGCATTATTTTTAAATAATTGTTTTACAGTTTAATAAAATTTAAGTAATTTACAAAATCATGTATCAAAATCAAGTTTTGCCTTCCAAACTCACTTTGTAAATTATGCCAATACAAATCCGAACCCAGAAATGCATACAAATTGTAGAAAATTAATGTATAAATATTTGTTTATATTTTTGTATTGTATATGGACAAAATTGTTCATATTCTAGTAAAATATATAAATAAATAATTAATAAAAAATAAGAATGAAGATGATACCATTACTTACATAATTGCCATTCTCAAACTCTAATTTTCTATTAAATGCTGGAATTGAAACTGAAGTAAGTAGTTTATATTCTTGAAAACGTAGCTTGTCAGGTTCCCGGAATTTCTGTAAAAAAAATTCGTTCTTTATGCAATACAAAAAAACATAATATTTTGATAACTAATATATCAACTTAATGCACTCACTTTGCATGAAAAAATTTTAAAATTTACTTTCAAATTAATGAAATCACTTACATGAAAAGTCACTGGAGAAAATGTTAGTAATATGCATGCAAAAACATTACATTCAGTATCTGCAAGCAGAAATATAAGCTATAAAGCTTGGTTTGTGAGTGAAAGAATTTCTTGTAGTCAATAAAACATGGCTCAAGGAATATGATCTAGTAACAAATAAAAACACACACTGATTTATAGTATATATGTATGCATATCAAGATTGATAAACTTACCATAAAAGCAAGGGAAAAAAGGTTGACAAAAAACTGAATGGATGATGGTTGTGGGTACTGCACACTATAGAACACCTAAACTCTAAGGAAACACATTGACAAACGTGACCTCATCAAACACTGAGATTGCAAAGGGGAATGTACAATGAGGAATATCAAAATGAAATAAGAAAACGGAGCATTTCACGAAACAGACTGTTTCTCTATTATAGATAATTTGACAATAAAGACGACCAGCAAATAAATGTTTGCAATTTTTTCACCTATCATTCAAGAGTGATTCATGAAATGCTTCATAAATGTTCAGGAATTCTTGTGGATGACAAACAATATTCAAGCAAGGATTCTAAAATATTCACAAAAAAGGGTCATTGTACACAGTATAAAAATGAAGCCTCTTTCAACTGTGTATAAATATCAGGTAACAGAACTTGGAAAAGCAACATTGAACACTGAGTAAGAAAACCACAGTAGCTTAAGAACACAAATGTTCTTTTTGTTTTTTATTTTTTTCAGACAAATTTCATGATTTTCCACAAAGGAAAATTGTAGCACTTGACAAGCAATATTTAATACCTTAAATACTTTTTGAGTGTACATGCTATCTTCCTTTTCTTGACTGAAACGTAATTCTTTCAATTGCATGTGTTTCGATAACCTTTCCTTTTGGTCCGATCCGGACTCCATTACATCCCAAAGCCAATTGTCTAGCTTTGGATCCTGCAACAAGTAAACTAAAGACCTTTGAAGAAATGGTCAACAAACAGAGTGCAGAGAGAACTGAAAGTAAGCTTAAAAATTAGTTTTCACACATTGTGAACATAAATAAAAAGTTAAAACAATGGCAAATAGCATTAGTCAATAAATAATGCTTAGTTCTTGTAAGGTATTTCATGAAATCTAAGTACTCATCTTGACAATATTTAACAATACAACTTTAATTACAGAAAAACATTTTAATTATAGAATAAATTAGAAGCAAAGTATATTACAATAAAGAAATTATACTTTTTAATCAACATTGCTGTTTTATTAGTTTTCAAAATAATGATTAAAAATACTTACTATATGTAATCTGTGTGAATTACAAAAACAATTTCAAAAAAGAAGTTCTAAAAGATAAGAATAAATTGAAAGTGGACATAATCATTTAAATATGAATCCTACCCTAATGTCAGCATATGCATGTGTCCATACTACAGGATGCACAACTCCTTGCAATACAAGGGGGCGAGCAATGACTGGAATGTACTTGAAAACTTGCTCCCGCACCTCTTCCAAAGAGTGAATGTGAGCATAGAAACCTGTTAATATTTAAATACATAATGTAAATACAGGAGTAGAGAATCTTAAAAACAATATGCATGACACAAAAACAACACATTAAAAATTATAGCATGGAAGTACACATTTTGTCACTATGGCACATAACTTCCATTAATTTATATTGTTAAACATATTGTTTTAAAACTATTTTTCACATCTATTTTCACAGTACTAAGTTACTTCATAATTATCAGTTTATAACAAAGACATCTCAGAGCACTGGAGTTAAATGATCATCAGATCAAACCCCATACTTATTTAATGAATGGATGGTTGAAGATCCAGCATTCTTGAATTTCATCTCAGAAGTTTCCTGTATACTGTGATGTAAAACACATCACAAGATCAAGTCAATCACCAATTTCAAAGTATATTCCATACCTTTCTTCAGCACAGAATGTGACAAAGAGCTGCGTGTCAGCAGAGAATAGCCTTTGCCACAGCAACTGTGACGAATTTGGGCCTGTCTTCGTCTTTGTGAGAAAAGGGGGGGAGGGGGGCAGAACGCTTCGCGCAGAGGGCAAGACGAGGGACAATGTCTAGGAGATGACTAATATCTTCCTAAACGAGTTTATTTCAACCCAGGAAGAAAGAACAAGGAGAAACAATGCACACGTCGAAGCAGCAAGGCACTAGATCGTGCTGTGTGCGACAGTCAGCAGTTATGAAGTTCACAAAACAACATTGTTCTACCCTAAGTTGGTTTATTTGGGGTTGGGCTGCGTTTGAAAACAAAAATACTTAGTACAAATCGTGTAAATTGGTGAAAAGCTTGGTCATGGTAGCCAGAGGTTCCTCGATAAATTCGACAACCCGAGGAGAAATTGACAGCTAGGGAACTGGGACGCTGCCTTGGGCGAATTAGACACGCTTCAGGTGCGCGCACGTGCGCAGGAGGTGCGGGTGGTGGACGGGTGGCGACCTGATTTTCGAATAGCCAATGGAAAAGGGAGATTCTAGGTAGGCTATGAACTCCCCAAATGATTGGCAAACACGGGAAGGGGGCGGCGAAGCCTCGAGGTGCTCGGAATACGGAAACCGAGGATTCATAATTAGAAAAAATGAGCGCGAGGCGTCAGAGATACTTTTGTAATCAGGAGAGATAGACGTTCATAAGCACGAGAAAGTCTTGAAAGACCTCCTGCGTGAGCGGCAGATAGAGAGTGTCGGGATTACTAGTATAATATTTGCTCCCGTTAGAAGGTAGACTGTTTGATCAAAGTGCTGACTAATGTACTACGACTGCTTATGTGGGCCGTTTATTAATGTACGCACTATTCGTGTTGCTACCATAAACGTTTTATATCTCTCGTAGAATGCTAATTACGAGGATAATGAATCCAATTATGTAACTGACGGATTGATCGGGTGTTGTTGCGGAAGTTGGGAAGCAGGCTGCGGGGTCAACATGGAAGCTCGCGGGACAAGAGAGACCTTCCAGCATTCGTTCAGCGGGGCGCTACCAGGCGATCCGGCCGAGGGGGTCGGCGCCGAAGCTGCGACTCGCGCCGCGTATGGTTTTCTCTCTCCCTCGTCTCTCCTCCTTTCTCCCCCACACATGATTTTATATTCAATAGACTCATAGCCCCTTTAGTTGTAAAGTAGAAGAGAAATAATAATAATAATAATAATAATAATAATAATAATAATAATAATAATAATAAAAACAACTCCCCATGTGGGTATAATAATAATCCATCAGGTATAATAATCCATAATAGGAAGCTAAGTATTAATAAATATAAGAAGACGAAGTATGGATTTGTATGTGTTGAGGTGAATAATATGAGCATTTATAGCTGTTACTTTTCTCCGAACAATTCATTTGAGAAATTTCAAAAAGACATCGACTAATTGGAGGCAAGTCTGAAAACAACGAAAGGAGAGGTTTTGATAGCAGATGATTTCAATGATAAATCGTCGGAATGGGGGAGACGCGCTCTGACAGAAGATATGATTATTAAATGTGAGTTTGTAGCAAGAAACGATCTCATCATTCTTAACTCCGGGAATCAGAATACTTTCCAACGTGGATATACTTCATCTATACTGGATTTGACAGTAAGTACCTCCAGACTGGCTAAGGGCATCACGCACTGGATGGTGTTGGATGAAGAAACCTTGAGTGACCACCGGTACATAGGGTATGCCGTGGTTTCTCATGCGAAAGTCAGCTAGTCTCACTTCTACAGGACCTAGCCGACGTAGTTGATGAAGGGA